GGAACCCACTATCTCAACCCTACACAGTCAGGTCACCCAGGCCTGCCTTCTAATTAATCATTTGCTTACTGATTTGTAATCATTTTCCATGCTTTGGTTTTAGAGTGTTGTTACTCCTTTTAAATTCTGTAATTACAATTGATAAGCTTTATTTTATCTTATTCCGTATTTACTTCAGTACCCTTGTTTTTATTCTTTCTTTTGTTTACTCATTGAACCAATCACTGAAGAAATGAGAGCCAGCCACTCTGTTAGGAATTGAGCTGTAGTTACAGAGTCATGACTTAGGGAGCTGACTTTTCCAGCAGAGGAAAAACAGTAAACGCTCTCCAGTCTGTTGGCGATGCCTGCAGGGACAGTGCTGTGTAGCCAGATCCCTGTGTTGTATGTATGGATACGCTGCATTGTTGGCATGTGAATGAAGATTTCAGGCATACTCTCCGTTTGGCACAGGTTGACAGCCTTAGTTTCTAGATTCGTAAGCACTCAGACCGTTTACAGAGGCAATAGAAGAAGCTGCACATATGCTTTCCAATTGGGCTTTAGCTAACTCCTAGGTTGTGGTCCTTGGGAGTTCCGCTATACCCTGCAGAAAGATTCCCAATTATCAGTTATATTCTTGGAAGTAAATGCCTTAAGTTAAATTCTGCTTTTGTCCTCTACCATTGTGTTCCGGGAAGTGCTGAATGTGAAACCAGTTGCATAAGGAAAGTTTCAGTACAGCAAAAATTCCAGGATGTTCCAGGTAGCCAGACACCCTTAGTTCTGTATACTTCCCTGTGTTTTTAGGGGTGGGGCCTGGGGAGGAGCTGCTGTCCTCAAATACTCTTAGTTAGAGATAACCTTTTGCTAATGTAACTTGTGTACTTTTCGGTAGATGTATATTGTTGCTGTGTCACTTCCTCAGGTTCCTGTGTACCCCGCTTTTCTGTGCTAACATAGTAAATACACTGAGCTGTTCTTTTACTTGCAACATGTGCTGCTTGGCTATCCTTGGCCTGTTTGAGAAGTCCCTTTGCTTGGATTTTGAGTATAGGCTTCTATAATGAATCTTGGTTTCTTCATATATTGGTTTTAAGTAGCATGTTTTTCTGTGATTAGAAACAATATATGGAAGCCAGGAGTGGTGGTGCACTTGGGAGGCAGATGCAGGAGGATATCTGGAGTTTGAGGCCATCCTGGGAGTCCAGGACAGCCAGTGCTCTGTTACACAGAGAAACTCTGTCTCAGAAAACAAACAGCATTGGACGTGGACTCACTTACTAGCTCTTTGATCACTTTTCCTTGGTGGGACTGCTTTGCCAGGCCACAGGGGAAGAGGATACACTTAGTCCTGATGCAGCTTGATGAGATGAGCTGGATGAGAAAGGGAGCTCCCTTGTCCTGAGAAAGAGGGGAGGGGGAGGGGAAGGGAGAGAGAGTGGGACTAGGAGGGGAGGAGGGATGGAGCTACCACAAGCATATAAAATGAATGAAAAAGAACTATAAATAAATAAAAATCAGAGCACAAAAAGCAAACAACAAAAGAAATAATATATGGAGGATATAATTAAAGTTTGGAGAAGTAAATATGTTTCTCTTAGGTTCAAATTCCTTCTGGGCTCTTATAAATGGCCTGAATTTCTTACTTAGTTTTTAATTAAGCTGTTTGATTTTCTTTGTCTAAATTTAGCAGTTCTTATATTTCAAAGAATCATGTTGCCATTGGGCTGTAGAGATGGCTCAGTAGTTAAGACCACTGTCTGTTCTTCCAGGGGACGTGGATCCCTTCCCAGCACCCACTTGGTAGTTCAGAACCATCTATAACACCAGCTTCAGGGGACCTGATGCCCTTTTCTTACCTCTGGAGGCACTAGGCATGTATGTGATGCACAGACATAAACATGCAGGCAAACCTAAGCTAAAAGTAATTACATTTTTTTTTCTTGGAAAAAGAAATCCTTTTGGGTAAGTGAAATAACTCAGCAGGTAAAGGCAGTTGGTGGCAATCTTGGAGACTTGGTTTAATCCCTGGAACCCATACAGTTGAATGGAGTGAATGGAGAGAAGTGACGCCCACACGTTTCCTATTAGGCACACACTTGTGCTACCATTGTAATTGCCCCCTCATAAATAGATGTAATAAAAACTTTTTAAAATTTTTTTTGTACCCTGTGTGGAATTTTCTCTTGACAGCAAGCAGTGAATTCTTTTCATTATTTTCTGGAAGTTCTTTTATGGTACCTTTTCTTTTCTTTCTCTCTCTGTCTCTCTCTTGTGCTCTCTCTCTCTCTCTTCAAGACAGGTTTTCTCATTGTAGCCTTGGCTGTCTTTTTAGACTTGCTTTGTGGACCAGGCTGGTCTTGAACTCACAGAGATTCGCCTGCCTCTGCCTCTGCCTCCCTGAGTGCTGGGATTACAGGTGTGCACCACTGCCTGTTTTTCTGTGGCTGTCCTGGAATTCATTATGTAGACCAGGCTGGCCTTGAACTCATAGATATCCTACTATCTCTGTATCCTGTGTGTTGGGATTAAAGCTGGCACCATACCCAGCTATAGTGCCTTTTCATTTGTCCCTCAGTCACATATTTGAATTTTTTATTATTTAAAAAAAATATTCACTTTTTAAAAAATGATTTATTTTTTACATATGACTGCTTTGCCTGCATTAAAGCAAGTGTACTGTTTTGTCTGCCTGGTGTCTGGAGAACCAGAAGGTAGCACCACATCTCTAGGAACCAGAGTTTTGGTTGGTTATAAGCCACCATGTGTGTGCTGGGAACAAAACTTTGGTCCTCTGCAAGAGCAGCCAGTGCTCTTAACCACTGAGCCATCTCTCCTGCTCTGATTTACTTTATTTTTAATTATGTTTGTGTAAGTACATATATCTCACATCCACACAGATACCTGTGCATAGCTGTGTGTGTATGAGTGCAGTGTCTTCAGATTCTAGAAGGTATTGGGTTACTTAGGGCTTAAGTGAGCTGCCCAGCTGGGAACCAAATGTTTTTGTGGCCAGAATGTGTGATGAATTTAATGTATATTTTCAAATTATTTTTTAGAAAACATTATTAGAATTTTACCTCATTAATTGTACTTTCTGCCTCCTCTCCTTTACGTGTAACAGTAGTAACTTTCCCCCAGAATTGCCTACTACTTTGTCCTGTGTTCTTGTGACTTGTCTGCTTTGGGGTTGGACCCAGAGCCTTACACATGCCAGGCAAGTGCTCAGTCCTCTGTCTGGTCTTTTAATTATATTGATCAATGCATTTCATAGTTGTATGATTTAAAAAGACCATTTAGAAAATGCAGAAACATTTAAAGACAATTAAGCTGAGCATGGTGGGACATGCCTGTATTCCTAGCACCCAGGAGGCTGAGTGCTGGAGGGTTGCAAGCTGTAGGCCTTTCTCAGGGAAGGAAGGGTGGGGGTAGGAGAAAGAGTATACATGGCCCATATTTTTTCACATAGGTTCTGGGATCTGAACTCCCGCATCTTCATGCCTGCCCATATATCTTCATGAGTCCATGCTGACCTCACCATGTAGCTAAGGGTGACTCTCTTTACCCTCTAACCTCAGCTTCCAAATGCTGAGATTATAGGTATGTGCAACCAAGCCTAGTCAGTTGTATGCTGGGGTCGAACTCAGGGCCTCATGACAGGCAAGCGTTCTACCACATGAGCCACATGAGACCAGCCTTACCCTCAAAGTTGTTATTGACCTTTTATGGTTAAGCAAAAGCAAGTTATTTTAGATTTCTGCTTTTTAAAATTCATCGTTTTCACATTCATCATCTGATACTATTCAGACTACTGTGCTCATCCACCACAGCTACATTATTTTATTTGAATTCTCTCTTTAGTAATTGTCATAGTATTACTCAGTAACAAATAGTATTTTTAAATTTTTGAATGACATTTGTAAAATTCCTGAAAACCTTAAAAGATGGAGAAGGAATGATAGCTCTGTTGGTGAATTTAATCGAACATCTTTAGGGGGTGTCTGATAGTTTACGTAACTAAAATTAGCTAATCAGCTGAGGTGAGTTGTTCATGCCTGTAATCCTTACCCTCAGAACACTGAAGCAGGGAGGTTCATACAAATTTGAGGCCAGCCAAGGCTATAGAAAATAAAACACCCAAGTAACCTGTTTGTAGTTCTTTTATAAACTTTGAATCTCTCACTCATCACTGCGTTGTCTAGGCCACATCTTGAGGTCTTATGCAAGCTGGCACTGGGCAGTTTTCTAGATCTGCAGCCTCCTGTTCCTGCTGTGGCACCAGGTGTGTGAGCTCTATAGTCAGCTCTGTCAGTGCCACATCATCCCAACCCTTGTTCTTTGAAAGTTAGATTATATTCTTTAAATTTGGCTTGAGACTTTCCATCCGATTAGTCTTGCTTTCCTTACTGCATTTTTTTTTCCTTGAGACTTTCCATCAGATTATTCTTGGTTTCCTTACTGCATTCTTTTTTTTTTCTTATACCCTAAAATAATTTTCACTGGCCCTAGACTTTGGTCTTAACTCATTCTACTTTGGGTATATCTTAGTCATCTTTTCTAAATACCAGTTTCTAATTTAAAATATTTAACATTTAAATTGATCTGTGGACTCTTTATTCTTTAGGGGTTAGGAGGGTGTTCTATGACTTCAGACAGCCTGATTGTCACTTTGTGATTTAATTGGCTGTCAATCCACCCAAACAATCTTGTGTAGTTAAGAGTAAATTTAAGGGACTGAAGAGATGGCTCCACAGGTATGAGTGCTGGATGCTCTTCCAGAGATTCTGAGTTCTATTCCCAGCACCCACGTGGTATGTTGGGATCTGATGTCCTCTTCTGGCACGCAGGTATACATGCAGATAGAGCACTGTAAATGTAAAATAAATAAATCTTAAAAAAAAAGTTCAACCTGAAGCATTCAGTGGAATCTAGTAGCCACAATAATGAAGTAGATTGCCTTCTTTTTTCACCTTCGGCTATAACTGTAAATCCTCACGATGCTTTTCTTTCTTTCTTAGTGGAAGAAAAAGCTAATACCTACCTCCTCCTTGGCATGTGCTTAGACTCTTGTGCACGCTACCTGCTATTCTCCAACCAGCTATCACAGGCACAAAGGATGTATGAAAAAGCCCTGAAGATTTGTCAAGAAATACAAGGAGAAAGACACCCACAGGTAAAAGATGAAAACAGTTCTGAGAAACAGTGTATGTAAGCCAGGCCTGGTGGTACAGGTACACTGCAGAAGGATCATAAGATCACAGGTTCAAGGCTGCCTGGCAAAGTTAGTGAGATCCTATGTCAAAGGGAGGAAAAGAAAAGGGGCTGGGGATTCAGTGGTGAGGCTCTAGTTTCAGTGTCTAGTATTAGTTATGGGTGTGGCAAGGCCTGGTTAGCTAGCCTGGTTAGCTAACCCTGTGTCTGAGGGTATGAACTTTATGAAGGTTCACATCCAGATGTATGGAATCCTTCCACTCCTGGTCTGTTGACTTTCACCAGCTTTCACTGCTCTCAGGTATTTCTTTCAAGAAGGGTTTGAGTATGCTGATCAGACACTGGCTCTGCATAGACCCTTTATCCAACTCATGGTTCACACAGTAGTCTTTGCATAAGGCAGGCCTAACCCAGAGCTTCAGAATATGTAGCCTCACATTTTATAGTGGTCTGCATGCAGACTGACTGAGAATTCAAACCCCCCCCCCCCCCCCCCCCCCCACACACACACACTCCAGAGCTAGGGACTAGACAGGGACTTTGCACTGGGAAGTGTTCTAACACTGAACCGTATTCCCCCCCCCACACTAATTAGAAGCAAATATGATAACACTACCACAGTGACCTGTTCATACCAGTCAGAACCTTGTACGAAAATGTTAATACATGAGTCTCCTTGCCTCCTGTGTAACTGTGGGAGGTGAAGAAGTAGAGACTTTAAAGGTGTTTTTGTTATTTTGGTTTTCCTTTTAGTAGGACTAGGGATTAAACCTCAGGCCTCATAAACTCAAGGCAAAGGCTCTACCACTGAGCCATGGCCATAGTAACTTTTTAAACCACTATTACAGAATTGTATGTAATTTTTCAAAGCGGGCAAAAGAAAGCCTTGTTAGAGTACTAAACACAGAATTGAACCAGGTGTTGATGGTGGCACACATCTTTAATCAGCACTCAGGAGGCAGAGGGAGGTGGCTCTCTGAGTTTGAAGCCAGCCTGGTCTACAAAGAGTTCCAGGACAGCCTGGGCTACACAGAGAAACCCTGTCTTGAAAAACCAAACAAACAAAAGACAGATCACCTCTGCTTCTTTTGGCAAAATACATTATTAGGGGTAGGAGTGGACGGCTCTTTTCTGATGCCTGCAGCCTATCATGTAAAACAAATTAGAATGAACTTGGAATATTTAGGACCTAATTCAGAGGGCCTGAATGACATGTCCTTTGGGAATAGTAAGAAGCAAGGCTGGAATTCAGAGAACCAGCTACCTTCCTCATTTCCAAAGTTGTAATGAGAACCTCCACAGTACTGGTGATCTGTCTTTCCAGGGAGGCTCAGGGTTGTGGCAGGAACTCTGCGCTGTAGTGCTGCCTCCTCACCTCCTGCTTCTCATTCCATAACCACGCAGGGCAGAAAACCCTGTTCCTGTTCTGAGCCTTCATAATCACTTGCCATAGTGTGGAAGTTTGTCCCTCCATGTGGAATTCCAGTAAAGCTGAAGACTTGTGTGTATGCAGTGTAACAAACTTCAGGTTAATGTTCTCTGTAGATATGTGTATAAAGAAAAGGCTGTTTTTCTTTTTGTTCCAGACCATTGTGCTGATGAGTGACTTGGCTACCACTCTGGATGCACAGGGCCGCTTTGATGATGCCTACCTTCATATGCAGAGGGCATCAGATCTGGCAAGAGAGATAAGTCACCCTGAGCTGCACATGGTGCTCAGCAATCTGGCTGCCATCTTGATACACAGAGGTAGGTTGCAGTGGAGATGGTCGGCATTCTGAGAAAGTTATCATCACTGTACTTTGAGTGAAATGGTTTTTGGGAAGCAAATAACAATGAAGATACCCCTAAGTCAATGCTTTTCAACTTGTGGGTTGCAACCCCTTTGGGGGTTAAATGGCCCTTTCACAAGGGTCACCTGAGACCATTGGAAAACACAGATGTTTACATCATGATTTTTAACAGTAGTAAGTTTATAGTTATGAAGTAGCAATGAAAATAACTTTGTGGTTGGGGAGGTCACCACAACATGAGGAACTCTATTAAAGGATTTCAGCATTAGGAAGTTTGAGAGCCACTGCCCTAAGTTAAAAGGCAGGCTAAATAAGGATAGAAAATGCATGTGTGTTAAAGTACTTAATTTGCTTAATTCATACAACTTCTGTTTTTTGCATGACCATGTGAAGGTAGAGAATGCTTTGCAGTGATTAGTCCTTGTCTCTATACAGATTCTTAAATGTTTTCACAGGTTAATGGCTTAGTGTTCTGAAGCCACAATATGATAAAACATCAGTTCCCTCCTATTCCATATTATTCAGGTCTTCACCTGAAATTTCCATAAACCTGGGATCACAGGTCTCTATTGCATGTACAATTGTGAAATCTTTGGCCAAGGGAGAGCCATAGCACTAAGTACCTTAGAGTTGACATCTACTCCAAGTTCAGCTTCTTGCAACCACTGGTCAAGTATGCATGAAACCAAATAGCCTAAGAGCTCATTTTTGAAGCACCCAGCAAATCAGACACATATCCTCACTAGTGTTTCCTCTTTAGTCACTTTGAAAACACATATTTTCTTCTCCCCTTTCTTTGGGTTATTTTAGAACGATACATACAAGCAAAAGAGATCTACCAGGAAGCACTGAAGCAAGCAGAACTGAAAAGAGATGAGGTTTCTGTTCAGCACATCAGGGAAGAATTGGCTAAGCTGTGAAGAAAAAGTAGATTTTTGACTTAATTTTGTTAAGCTATATAAGTTTATTCTGTTGTAGAGAGGATAATCTGTGGTAACCCAAAGGAGTGACTGTTCCTTAATTGTCTGGACCCTAAGCAGTGGTATACATCATTGTTGAAATTCAGCTTTGTTCAACTCAGCCTCGGTGAAGGACAAGTTGTATGCACTGCCACTTTTGTTTATAAATTTATTTAACTTTGAGATGGGGTGTCTCTATGTGTAGGCTGGCCCAGAAATTGCTGATACTCAAGGTTGGCCTCCAACCTGGAATCCTCCTCCCTCGGCCCCGCAGGTGCCTGGCCTACCTTTGTTTTTAAGGGGAAACAGCTTCCATAATGTAATGATGCTTCCCGTGCAACATGTAACGTGTGTTCACGCCAGTCAGAAAATTACAAGCCAGGTTCCCGCGATATGGTCACTAGACCCCATAAGATTTTGGTTCATGCTTTCTCTTCTCTATCCATTTCTGGCAAACAAGTTACTTGTCTCCTGGCACAGGAGGATTTTGGGGAGTTCTCCTATAGACTATTTTACTGCAGCATTGTGAGATTTAACGAACATAGGAGGGAAACTGCTAATTCTTGTTGGCCACCATTAGGCAGCATTCACTTCTTAGGAAGAAATGAGGCACTTGAACTGCATACCCCGTTCATATGTAACTACTGAAACTGGTGGTGGCAGAAGGAATGAAGGAAGCCCTTAGCAGCACTGTCTGAGCCCTGGGCTTCCTTTATCACCAGACACACACAGTGGAGTCAAACTGAACCCAGTAATGCAGACAGCACCAATGTGTACCTCGGTAATGTGAAACCACTGACCTGGATCCTACTTAGCTCTGCTTTTTCATTTTGCAATCTCTTGTTTTCGCAGCTGTAAAGTGTGAGACCAGTTAGATTCTTTGATGACCTTTATCACTGCCTTAGACTATATAAATATTAGATGCACGGTTGGATGTGTTCACCTTTGCAGTCTGGCAAACGCCCATCTATCTAAGAGAAAGACAAACTTTCTGGGTGCCCTGAAGGAACACTAGTTAGTGGTGTTGGCATGCCCATGGAAGTGGGTGGTGTGAGTAGGGTGGCCAATGGACTTCGGTTCATGTGTTTGTACTGGGAAAATCTTCATAATAAACGAGAGACTATACAATATTGTATGTATTTTAATCATCTTTGAATCATAGAAAAATAATTGGCTAAGTTAAAGGAAAGCCTAAGCTCCAGATGCTCAGAATCAAACCAAAATTTTGTGTTGTGTAGGGAGAGCTCTCACCACCTTCTATCTAAACTCATCTACCATTTACTCCTTCACTAACCTAACCACGTGTGATCCCATTAACCAAGAATAACCAGATAAGATTTCAGTCACCTTTGCTTTGAGAATGTTTTTACTGTTTCATAATTCCAGAGTTACCAAAGTTAGGTTTTAGGATTTTTTGTTGTTATTTTTCAAGAGAGGGTTTCTCTCTGTAACCTTGGCTGTCCTGGACTTGCCATGTAGACCAGGTTGGCCTTGAACTCTCAGAGATCCACCTGTCTCTACCTTCCCAAGTGCTGGGATTAAAGGCATGTACACCATACCCAGCTAGGGTTTTAGGATTTTTAATCTTCCATAGTGATTCAGCTCACATCCTGTGGCTGGGAAGACTGGACTTCTCAAGACATTGATGTGTGTTCCCAGGAACGCTCATTTGCACTGTTATAAAAAGGCAGTGAGACAGAGGGACTAATCTTTTACTGATTACAACGTTAAACATTCACATTTAATTTCATATTAAAGTTTTGAGCTACAACATGCTACTGGAGTTTTCAGGGCATAAGTGTATGTAAGACAGAATCACAGCGTATGAAAATTTAAAGTGTATAAGATTTCTCACTAAGTAGAAGTTGTCAGAATATTACCTCTGCTGGAAGACCTTGATTTAGTTGTATGTGCATGTGTTACAGATACAGTATTGCCCCCCCCACACACACAAATTACTGCACCTTGATTTGCAGCTGATTTCATAAGTCTCGGTGCTCCCGTAACGCATCCTCCATCTCTTAAGTAAACTTTATTAGGATTCTGTTCTGTTGTGTTGAACTAAGAAATGATGCTGGATTTCGTGTTGTGTGTATGTGATGAGCATGGAGCAAGCAATCTTCAGGTGCAGTTACAAGAGTAGGTTAACAAGGTAGGCTGATCTGTCCTTAGATGAACCCAACCCAGAACAATGTACTAAGACCCCTGGGGGCAATCACTTTTGGGCTAGTTGACAAGGTGATTTATTAAGTTTTAGACTATTGCTGTAACTCTATGTGTGTGTGGGCACACGTTGAGCAATAAATTTAATCAGAACGTTTAATTTTCTATATGTTTATGACTACTGTAAAGGTAACAACTTTACAAGTGAAAAGAATTCTGTTTCACGCTGTAGCCTTGGCTGGCCATAGGCTGGCTTTGTATTTATTCTTAGTGATCTGCCTGCTTCTGGCTAAAGGTTAAGATACCAAATATCTGTCTTTGTTACTTGCTGAGTTATGTGGGCAAATACTGAAGCTGCATCTTCATCTAAAAAAA